GGTCTGAAGAAGCAAAAGCAGCATTTAATAATGCAAAAGATGCCTTATCCAACGTTGTAATGTTATCTCATATCAACCCAGAAGCTTCACTCATTTTATGTACAGATGCATCGCAGGTAGCAGTGGGAGCAGTTTTACAACAAAAGTTCAATAATGACATCACTCCACTTGCTTTCTTCTCCAAAAAGTTGGAACCTGCGCAAACTCGTTACAGCACTTTTGGCAGAGAACTGTTAGCCATCTACCTAGCGATGAAACATTTCAGCTTCTTACTACAAGGTCGACATTTTACTATCTTAACCGACCATAAGCCTCTTTGTTATGCTTTCACCACTTCGTTGGACAGACACTCTCCGAGAGAAGCCAGACAACTGGATTACATCTCACAATTCTCAACAGACATCCAGTTCATCAAAGGAGATTCCAATATCGTAGCCGATTCCTTGTCTCGATGTGACGTTAATCACCTATCTTCGATAGATATTAGCTTAGACAATATTGCCAAGCTGCAGAAAAATGACGCCGAACTCCATACTTGTAGACGAAACTCCTCCCTACAGTTGCAGGATGTACCTATTCCCCTGTCTGATACAACTATCGTCTGCGACGTTTCAACGGGCGTTCATAGACCTTTTGTTCCACTAAGTTGTCGAAAACCTTTGTTTGAACATCTACATTCATTGTCTCATCCTGGAGTGCGTGCTACGGTCAAGTTAATCAGCGAGCGTTTTGTTTGGCCCAAGATGAACTCCGATATTCGGAAATGGGCCCGCCAATGCTTGCAATGTCAAAGATCCAAGGTACATCATCATACCGTCACACCTCCAAAGCAGTTCAATTTACCGGATAAACGATTTCAACACGTTCATATAGATATTATTGGACCATTACCGCCATCCAGAGGATTTACTCATATACTTACCGCGATTGATCGATTTACCCGATGGGCTATTGCTTGTCCACTCAACGATATATCTGCAGAAAATATCGCTTTGGTTTTCTTAGATCGTTGGGTGTCAAACTACGGAGTACCCACAACTATTACAACAGACCGAGGAGCTCAATTTCAATCAACTCTGTTTCGAGAGTTTACGAGACTCCTTGGAGTGAACCATATCTCCACTACAGCTTATCATCCTGCAGCGAATGGTCTGGTGGAACGTTTCCATCGACAACTGAAAAGCTCGCTTATGGCACAAGCTGACTCATCTAAGTGGAGTGAACACCTACCATTAGTTCTTCTCAGTATCCGATCAACTGTAAAAGAAGATTTGGGATGTACACCAGCTCAACTTGTGTATGGTACTACCCTCACATTGCCTGGTCAGTTAGTTCCGTCTAATGATTCAACTGAAGTAAATATCTCCGACTTCACCAACCGCCTTACCCAGCATATGCTTCAGCTTCGACCAGTAGCCCCTCGCCAATCACTTCAGAAAGCTCAAGTAAATAAGAATCTACTCACTAGCAAATTTGTATTTGTTCGCGTCGATGCCATTAGAAAAGGTTTACAGCATCCATATGAAGGTCCTTTTCTAGTACTTAAACGCACCGATAAATACTTCACGCTGAACAAACATGGTAAACCGGAGACTGTTTCTATCGACCGTCTTAAACCAGCGTACACCGACAGCGAATATGAAACACTAGCAACGCCGACACCAATGAACAATCAGAAAGTCATTTCAACTCCAACTCTCCCGCTCTTCACACTTCCCCCTGTACAGACACGCAGTGGGCGGCAGATCTGTAAACCTGCCCGCTATGTTCATTTCATTGACTGACATAAACGTTAACCTCATTTAGACATTCTTCTCATTATTATTGTTGTCGAGATTCATTCCATTATAACCATTAATATTTATTAGTATTATTATTTGCTGTTCGTTAACTGTACTGCAAGCACACGCATTCACCAAGTATATGTATATATCTATTTATATATGAATTTCACAAATGTTAACGAACATGTCATGGATTTTTATGTACATAAATTTTTTATTTAAAATTATAACAAGTTTTGATTTTTTTTAAATTCCTGTATGTGCTTGTATGTGCTAAACTTTATACGACACGGATGCATGCTATACATCCTGATCTAACTTTTTATCCTTATTGTTGTTATTGTTATTTTTTGTTATCCTTATTGTTGACATTGTCCCTTATTTATATTGCTTATATTCATGTAATCGTCCACGAGGACAGTACTGATGGTCCTCCGGACCTCTAAGAGGGGGAGCCCTGTGGAGTCCTCAAAAATAAACTTATCCAAATTTTACTACTATGTAAGAAATGAACATATTGTACATCACTTTGTTTTAACCATAAACTCTGTACTTTGAACTTTACCTCGGGTTTTGAATAAATATATAGTTCTGCCTTCGACTCTCCATCTTCTCCACCATCTCAACTGCCGTCGATCAATTTTAATCACCTGCTTTCTATCTCAAATTTTTGCAGGAGCACCGTAGTTCTTCCTACGTACTTTGGTCGACCTCCGGCAACGTCAACATTGGAGAATTAGTACTGGAGCAGTCTTCCCGCAGCACCTGGAGTCTATTATGTTTATTGTGGACTTTGGATCTTTGTAAACCCAAGTAACCAAACTTTAATACATTCTTCCCGTAACTAAACTGATTTGGTACTTTATTTTCTATTTGAATTTGGGTAACTAAGCTAACAGAGTATAAGGTCCACCACATATACCTCATGCAGACTTTTTATCTCGTTATTCATTATTTGAAAATGCTGCTAATGATACTGATTGTTTGTTAGTCCAGCCGTTACCTGTGGATCGAGTTCGACTTATAAATGATACTCGGAAATATCACGGATGCGTTATAAATGCAACAAAAAGAGGTTGGAATATTCAGTGTAAGCGAAGATTTCCAGACTTTTATAAACGAAGAAATGAGATTTCAGTTCATCCTGAAGGATTACTATGTCTGAATGACAGAATTATTATTCCTCCAACATTAGGATCTGCGATTTTGGATGATCTACATTCCGCTCATCTAGGAGCTGATAAGATTGAAATCATTAGCACGTCTAACATGCTGGTGGCCGGAAATTGATGCTGACATTAACAAAAGATCAAAGAGCTGTTTACATAAAATGTCCTATTGGAAGTCATCGTCGAAACCGTGGCATGCGTCTCGTGAGGTCTGGCAGCGTATTCATGCAGATCACTGTGGTCCATTGTTAAATTCATACTTTGCTTTAGTTATTGTGGATTCTTATTCTAGATGGCCAGAAGTTATCATTACAGATAGTCCTAATGCAAAATTCACTCACAGAGCGTTGAGAAAGAATTTTAGTCGAGAAGGAATTCCAGATGTCTTAGTTACTGACAATGGTACTCATTTACGGAGAACTTCAATGATTGGATCAAACATATAGGTTGTCGTCATTTGTACACAGCACCACGTCATCCTCAGTCAAACGGGTTGGCAGAAAATTTTGTACGGACATCAAAGAGTGCTATAGCATCAATGAGCCCTCAAAATCTTGATGAGCTAGAGAGATGTGTGGATAACTTCTTACTTCAATATCGCAATGCGGAGCATACAAGTACTCATGAAAGTCCTGCAAAACTATTCAAATCTCGAATTCTCAGAAAGCATTTGACGTCCACGACTTTTGATGTACATTATTATAGAGGGAATGATTATAGACCTTCTATTGGTATCATACTACAAAGAATGGGAAATCGAATGGTGAAGATATTAGACATCGAACATCATTCAGTTCATAACAGATACTTGGATCAAGTGAGAATAAATGAGGTAGGTCGTTCCGATTATGATTGTAATGATTCCGCTACTAATCCTGATTTTGTAGATAATTCAGAAATAAGTCTAGATGATACTAATGGAAATAATATCACAGAATCAGTTAGAAGATCACAGAGAGTGGCAAGCAAACCGTGATATCATTATAAATACGCAAGGAGATATTCGACGTGTGTCGGATGTGGTGATCGACTATTTCTATCTCTGTATTGTTTAAATACTTACTGTTGATTGCTAATATATTTCTTATATGAATTGAATAATAATTCCGCTAAATATAAATTCCTGAATTCTGCCCTCTCTGTGTTTTGGTTGGATTCTTTTAATTCGGTCATCTCGAAATACTAATACTATGATTACAAATAATTACAACAAATATTTTATTATGACCTAATCGTATCTAATGTTACATTTGGCTGTTTTAAATGCTTATTTCACACCATAGTGACCTAAGTGGAGAGGTGTGGTGGACCTTTCACTCGGTTAGCTCAGTTACCCAAATTCAAATAGAAAATAAAGTACCAAATCAGTTTAGTTACGGGAAGAATGTATTAAAGTTTGGTTACTTGGGTTTACAAAGATCCAAAGTCCACAATAAACATAATAGACTCCAGGTGCTGCGGGAAGACTGCTCCAGTACTAATTCTCCAATGTTGACGTTGCCGGAGGTCGACCAAAGTACGTAGGAAGAACTACGGTGCTCCTGCAAAAATTTGAGATAGAAAGCAGGTGATTAAAATTGATCGACGGCAGTTGAGATGGTGGAGAAGACGGAGAGTCGAAGGCAGAACTATATATTTATTCAAAACCCGAGGTAAAGTTCAAAGTACAGAGTTTATGGTTAAAACAAAGTGATGTACAATATGTTCATTTCTTACATAGTAGTAAAATTTGGATAAGTTTATTTTTGAGGACTCCACAGGGCTCCCCCTCTTAGAGGTCCGGAGGACCATCAGTACTGTCCTCGTGGACGATTACATGAATATAAGCAATATAAATAAGGGACAATGTCAACAATAAGGATAACAAAAAATAACAATAACAACAATAAGGATACAAAGTTAGATCAGGATGTATGGCATGCATCCGTGTCGTATAAAGTTTAGCACATACAAGCACATACAGGAATTTAAAAAAAATCAAAACTTGTTATAATTTTAAATAAAAAATTTATGTACATAATAAACCATGACATGTTCGTTAACATTTGTGAAATTCATATATAAATAGATATATACATATACTTGGTGAATGCGTGTGCTTGCAGTACAGTTAACGAACAGCAAATAATAATACTAATAAATATTAATGGTTATAATGGAATGAATCTCGACAACAATAGTAATGAGAAGAATGTCTAAATGAGGTTAACGTTTATGTCAGTCAATGAAATGAACATAGCGGGCAGGTTTACAGATCTGCCGCCCACTGCGTGTCTGTACAGGGGGAAGTGTGAAGAGCGGGAGAGTTGGAGTTGAATTGACTTTCTGATTGTTCATTGGTGTCGGCGTTGCTAGTGTTTCATATTCGCTGTCGGTGTACGCTGGTTTAAGACGGTCGATAGAAACAGTCTCCGGTTTACCATGTTTGTTCAGCGTGAAGTATTTATCGGTGCGTTTAAGTACTAGAAAAGGACCTTCATATGGATGCTGTAAACCTTTTCTAATGGCATCGACGCGAACAAATACAAATTTGCTAGTGAGTAGATTCTTATTTACTTGAGCTTTCTGAAGTGATTGGCGAGGGGCTACTGGTCGAAGCTGAAGCATATGCTGGGTAAGGCGGTTGGTGAAGTCGGAGATATTTACTTCAGTTGAATCATTAGACGGAACTAACTGACCAGGCAATGTGAGGGTAGTACCATACACAAGTTGAGCTGGTGTACATCCCAAATCTTCTTTTACAGTTGATCGGATACTGAGAAGAACTAATGGTAGGTGTTCACTCCACTTAGATGAGTCAGCTTGTGCCATAAGCGAGCTTTTCAGTTGTCGATGGAAACGTTCCACCAGACCATTCGCTGCAGGATGATAAGCTGTAGTGGAGATATGGTTCACTCCAAGGAGTCTCGTAAACTCTCGAAACAGAGTTGATTGAAATTGAGCTCCTCGGTCTGTTGTAATAGTTGTGGGTACTCCGTAGTTTGACACCCAACGATCTAAGAAAACCAAAGCGATATTTTCTGCAGATATATCGTTGAGTGGACAAGCAATAGCCCATCGGGTAAATCGATCAATCGCAGTAAGTATATGAGTAAATCCTCTGGATGGCGGTAATGGTCCAATAATATCTATATGAACGTGTTGAAATCGTTTATCCGGTAAATTGAACTGTTTTGGAGGTGTGACGGTATGATGATGTACCTTGGATCTTTGACATTGCAAGCATTGGCGGGCCCATTTCCGAATATCGGAGTTCATCTTGGGCCAAACAAAACGCTCGCTGATTAACTTGACCGTAGCACGCACTCCAGGATGAGACAATGAATGTAGATGTTCAAACAAAGGTTTTCGACAACTTAGTGGAACAAAAGGTCTATGAACGCCCGTTGAAACGTCGCAGACGATAGTTGTATCAGACAGGGGAATAGGTACATCCTGCAACTGTAGGGAGGAGTTTCGTCTACAAGTATGGAGTTCGGCGTCATTTTTCTGCAGCTTGGCAATATTGTCTAAGCTAATATCTATCGAAGATAGGTGATTAACGTCACATCGAGACAAGGAATCGGCTACGATATTGGAATCTCCTTTGATGAACTGGATGTCTGTTGAGAATTGTGAGATGTAATCCAGTTGTCTGGCTTCTCTCGGAGAGTGTCTGTCCAACGAAGTGGTGAAAGCATAACAAAGAGGCTTATGGTCGGTTAAGATAGTAAAATGTCGACCTTGTAGTAAGAAGCTGAAATGTTTCACTGCTAGGTAGATGGCTAACAGTTCTCTGCCAAAAGTGCTGTAACGAGTTTGCGCAGGTTCCAACTTTTTGGAGAAGAAAGCAAGTGGAGTGATGTCATTATTGAACTTTTGTTGTAAAACTGCTCCCACTGCTACCTGCGATGCATCTGTACATAAAATGAGTGAAGCTTCTGGGTTGATATGAGATAACATTACAACGTTGGATAAGGCATCTTTTGCATTATTAAATGCTGCTTTTGCTTCTTCAGACCACTGAAATTTCTTCGAATTGCATCTAAGTAGGTCGGTCAGTGGCTGAACTATGGAGGCACATGATGGAATAAAACGTCGGTAGAAGTTGAACATCCCGAGAAAACGTCTAAGTTTCTTTAAGGAATCAGGTTCGGGAAAGTTCTTAATAGTTTTTATCTTATCTTCGGTAGGTCTGATGCCTTCGGCAGTTATTCGATGTCCTAAGAATTCAATGGAAGGGGAACCAAAAATACATTTCTTTGGATTGATAACAACTCCAAATTGTTCAAACCTTTGAAATAACAAGCTTAAGTGTTCCATATGTTCTTCCATCGATGAGCTGGCAATTAAGACATCGTCGATATATACAAAGACGAAATCAAGACCTTGGGTAACTTGGTCCATAAAACGCTGAAATGTTTGAGCAGCATTCTTTAGTCCGAAAGGCATTCTCAAGAATTCGAATAATCCAAAAGGCGTGATAATTGCTGTTTTTGCAATGTCTTCTGGAGCGACTGGTATTTGATGATATGCCCTGACCAAGTCAACTTTAGTAAAAACGGTCTTTCCATGTAAGGTCAAGGAGAAGTCGTGGAGATGAGGTATAGGATAACGGTCTGGGACCGTAGCGTTATTCAAAGCGCGATAATCTCCACATGGTCGCCAGTCATGATTAGTTTTAGGTACCATGTGCAGAGGTGAAGACCATGGGCTGTTAGATGGTCGTATGATACCTAGCTGCATCATATGTTCGAATTCCGACTTAGCTGCTGCTAGTTTATCGGGTGGTAACCGTCGTGGACGTGCCTTCACAGGTTGTCCTGTTGTGATGATCTTATGCGTAACTGTATGAGATATATCTTCGACGTTGTATGATGGTTTAAGGATTTTAGGAAATCGTTGCAATAAAGCAGAGAACATTTCACTCTCCGGCTTTTCTATACAGATGCTATGAACAGAGTAGTCACATGTAATACCATGGATCTTGAGTTGGGTGCAATTGTCAACCAGTTTTTTCTTGCTGATATCAACCAACAGATTGAAGTGACTTAGGAAGTCTGCACCTAGTATAGCGTGACGTACGTCAGCTACTATGAAGATCCATGTGAAACGTCGGCGTAGTCCTAGGTTTAAAATCATTGACTGTTCGCCATACGTCTGTATGTTGGTTTGGTTGGCAGCACGGAGTGAAAGTTTTCCAGGTATTTTGGCTGATCGCCTGGATAGTGATGGGGGAATAACACTGACCTCGGCGCTTTTTTTTTTTTTTTTTTTTTTTTTTTTTTTTTTTTTTTTTTTTTTTTTTTTTTTTTTTTTTTTTTTTTTTTTTTTTTTTTTTTTTTTTTCTGTCTGGCTGGGGAGTTTCCCTGAATTGTGTTACCACTGTTGTACATACACGGTCGAAGACACTTCAGGGCATTATGCCCATACCTCCTATGATACCACCAAATGTTACGGCTTTGGGACGGTGTTCTAGAACGTCGTCTAGATCTTGATCGCCGTTGCTTGGATACCGTATGCGACTGGTTCCTTTGTGCTCGAAGCTCAGACACTTCCAGTCGTAAGTCTAGCATTTGAGATGTTAACTGGGAAAGTAACCAAAACATTGGTGCGTCCTCCATAGATGTGGAATCCGGCAAGGCGGTAACAGAAGAGTTCTGTATCACTTCGCCTTTATGAAGTTCTTCGGGAAAAGTGACACGTTTATATGGAGCCATCGTCAAAAAATATTTAAGTATAGAGATACGCAAAATAGCAAAACTTGTGGTAACAAAAATTAAAGCAATGCGAGTTTAAAAGGCCAAAATAGCAACAAAAATGTTCAAAACGAGTTAACTATCGAAACAAAAAGGTTCGAAAACGGGTTAACCATAAAAAAAGGTTCGAAACGGGCTCACCAATTATTGTGGTGGACCTTTTACTCTGTTAGCTTAGTTACCCAAATTCAAATAGAAAATAAAGTACCAAATCAGTTTAGTTACGGGAAGAATGTATTAAAGTTTGGTTACTTGGGTTTACAAAGATCCAAAGTCCACAATAAACATAATAGACTCCAGGTGCTGCGGGAAGACTGCTCCAGTACTAATTCTCCAATGTTGACGTTGCCGGAGGTCGACCAAAGTACGTAGGAAGAACTACGGTGCTCCTGCAAAAATTTGAGATAGAAAGCAGGTGATTAAAATTGATCGACGGCAGTTGAGATGGTGGAGAAGATGGAGAGTCGAAGGCAGAACTATATATTTATTCAAAACCCGAGGTAAAGTTCAAAGTACAGAGTTTATGGTTAAAACAAAGTGATGTACAATATGTTCATTTCTTACATAGTAGTAAAATTTGGATAAGTTTATTTTTGAGGACTCCACAGATGTGATAGCGACCCTGATCGACAAATAAAATGAGCGTGCAGTACATAAGCTTAGTTAGGGGTGCGATGCATGAATTACCTAGGTACTGTATGGATAATAGGCTCGTAGGAAGGGATATTAAGGTGTAGACGTGGAGATGTGTTGTATCTGCAGAGATATACAGCCTCTGCTGATGGACATGTGTACTGATATCTAGACTTCCTTAACAGAAAACCTGTCTGACAATACATGTCGCGCCCCCTTAAAGCCCATAGGGTTGCACAGCAGTGAAGGAGTCACGAAGCAGCATTATACACAGTTATCTAACTGAATTCATGCACAAGAATTGGTGTGGGCTATCACTAAAGACCCCAGTAAAGAATTAGGAGATATTATTGGAACACATAGTAGAAAGTTATCCTGTGTAGCTATGGTTAATCCTGGATTTGATTTTGTAGCGGTAAATAATTCCCAAAAATTATTGACCGCAGCAATCATCACTGAACATTGGATGCTGACCCCCACTGTTTAGGTTGACTTGTTTAGCTAAAGGCTTCCGGTCAAGCATCCGCGTCATTCATGCTACGTTCTTGCATGATCACTAGCCACCTAAGCATCCATCTTAGTCTACGATTTGGTCCCGAAATATATCTCGTAGCTTGGACGATCAAATAGTGTCTTTTGCTTTGCCTTTGGTCCATGGGGAACAAATACTATAGAAGTTGTTGGTATAAGATCTTGTGTTAGTACACACCGTACAATTCGCGGATGTCAATACCGTCAGCCTCTAAGATTTCTATAGAAATCTGTTTTAGATTGCTTGTTTCTACTCTGGAATCATTTGGCTGATTGGCAAAGATTTATTGGCACAGTCTAAAAAAAGCGTCCCAGGAGTGCGAACGCTCTAATGAGCTTGAAGGCTTGCTATTCGTTGGTTGGGGAAACTTACCATTATTCTTGCGCGAAAATGAACGGTGTTCATCTGCTCAGATGCAAATTTCACCCAGATCGCGGGTTTCAATACTGCCTGGATATTGGATTGATTGGAATTTCTCGTAAATGTAGCTGTGGTGCTTCAGTGAACCTGCAGCCGTACTCCCAGGTCATTGATGGATATATATTTAGATGTACAGAATTTAGGAAACGAATAAGTGTTCGTAGTGGTAAGTGACGCACTCAGCTAATTGTCTTCTAGGAACTTTCCTTGACGAATATACTATTTCTATGCCATTAATGGATTTTGAATTCCGGTGTGAGATCAACTGCCGCTCAGACTTATAATACGTTGACATCTGCTGTGCAATGGCTCCCATATTGTCGAGATTTAGCGTCATGGAAAATGAACGGTAATACACAAGTGTTAAGAGGAGTCGGTGTTGTCGTTCATATCAACGAAACGGTCCTTATAAAAAAGTAATACAATCAAGGACGTGCTAGAGCAAATAACATTTGGGTATTGGGAATTTACTACACCCAGATTTGGAAAGGATTTATTGAACTTATTCCAGATAGGAGTGCTGGCAATCTTCTCCCTA